AGCTCATCAGACCACCATATGATCCACATTCAGTCAAACTCTACCCAGCATATTAAGGGCAAAATATTCCAATTTGACAAAAGGTGGCTCCAGCAAGAAGGTATTGAGGAAGTTGTGAAGGAAGAATGGGTACCTGAACAGATTGGCACTCCAATGTTCTCTGTTAAGGAAAAAATTAAAAAGGCTAAGACTGCTCTTCTTCTTTGGAGCAAGCACTTCAGAGCCAACAACAAGGACAACATTGCTAAGCTTTCCTTAAGCCTAGAAGAGATGAGAAATGCAGGAGGTGAGAGGAATTGGTCCAAGTGGGATAGAATAAAGAAGGAGTTAGATGAAGCTCACTACTCTGAGGAGCAATATTGGAAGCAAAAAGCTAGAATCCTCTGGCTAAAAGAGGAAAACAAGAACTCGAAGTTTTTCCATGCCTATACTCTTCAGAAAAGGAAGACTAATGCAATTGAGAGACTGATGAATGAGCAGAATGTCCTTTGTGAGAATCAGAGGGAGATTGAAAGAATCATCTGTGACTACTACAAGAGGCTTTACACTTCTTAGGGCTCATCCCATGGTCACACAATGCTTCCCCTTATTTAGAACTGTATCTCTCCATCTATGAATGAAGACCTTATGTCCCCTGTGCAAGAGGATGATATCAAAGGAGCTTTTTTCAGTCTTCACCCTGATAAATCTCTTGGGGAGGATGGCATGTCTGCCTTGTTCAACCAACACTTTTAGCCCATTGTCAAGACTTACATTTGTTATGTTGTCCAAAGTTTTTTCTCCTCTGGTCAAATGCTCAGGTATTGAAAACAAACCCTCATTACTCTTGTTCCTAAATGTCAAGATCCCACTTCTATTAGCCAGTTTAGGCCAATCAGTTTGTGTGTTTTTTTCTACAAGATCATCTCAAAGATTCTGGCCTAGAGACTTATAAATTGTCTGCCAAATTGTATATCTGAATCTCAAGCAGCTTTTCTTCTTGGTAGACAACTGCTGGATAATGTGATTATTGCCCATGAGGCTTTCCATTTCCTTAACAGGCACAAAAGTGGGAGTAAATGTTTCATGGCTCTGAAATTAGACATGGCAAAAGCCTTTGACAGGATTGAGTGGAAGGGCATCCAATTAACTATGCTGAGGATGGGTTTCAATGCCACTTTTGTTAAATGGATCATGTCTTGCATCACTGCACCTTCTTTCTCCTTCAATATCAGAGGTCTGCCTAAAGGTTACATACTGCTTCTAGGGGAATTAGACAGGGGGATCCTCTTTCCCCCTATCTTTTTATCATTGTCACTGAGCTACTTTCTGCAAGAATAGCCTCTGAGGCAGCTAGAGGGGGCTTCAAAGGTCTGAAAATTGCTAGAGGATGTCCTGAACTTACTCATCTCCTATTTGCAGATGACCTCCTCATTTTCTGTAAAGCTGAGGTTTCCCAGGCACAAAAATTGCTCCACTTTCTGAATGACTACTTTTTATTCACTGGACAGCAGGTAAACCTTGACAAGTCTTCTATATTTTTTAGCAAGAACACCCCTTTGGAATTACAGGAATACTGCTGCCAAACTTTAAATAGTATTAAGCTTCATTTCTCTTCAAGATACCTGGGATTACCCTTGGGAATAGGGAGGTCCAAAAAAGAAGCATTTAATTATGTGGTTGAGGTGGTGAAAAGCATGTTATGTAGCTGGAAGAACAAGTGGCTTTCTCCTGCTGGAAAGGAAGTTCTTATGAGAGCAGTTATCAATGCTCTCCCTGTTTTTTCTATGTCATGCTTTGTTCTTCCTTCTAATCTGTGCAACGAAATAGCAAGTATCTCTGCTGGCTTCTGGTGGAGTAAGAGTGAGGACCAGAAGAGGGGTCTGCATTGGAAGGCTTGGGACTGTCTTACTCTCCCAAAGAATTTTGGTGGTTTAGGGTCCCAGGATATCCATTGTTTCAATGAAGCTCTTATTGCTAAACAGCTTTGGAGGATACTGAACCATCCTGATCTTCTGGTTACTAGACTTCTCAAAGCTATATATTTCCCTAACTCCTCACTTCTTGCTGCCCAGAAGAAGACAAATGCTTCTTGGCTTTGGAACAGTTGGTTCAAGATTCTGGAGAATTATGGCAAATGGTTTTTTTCTGAGATCAGAAATGGTAAAGCCACAAGAATCATTGATGACTTTTGGGTACCTGGGCTCCATGGTAAGAAACTGTGCTTTAAACTTGGTGCTGACCTGAATCAGACTTGGGTTAATGAACTTCTTCTACCTGATGGAAATACCTGGGATGAGCAGAAGATCGAACTAAACTTTGCAGAAGATGATTGTTCTAACATTATCGAAATCTCCACTCTTTCCCCTGACTTGGAGGATCGCTGGCTTTGGATGAAAGATAGGAAAGGAAAGTTCTCAGTCTAATCTGCCTACTCTGCTATCATTTATCAGAAGATTCTGAAATTAGACAAAGCTCAAAGCAGCACTGCCATTGTGAAAGATCAGAAGGTGAGAACTAGGCTCTGGAAACTCAAAGTAAAAGGTAAAATACAGCATTTCATTTGGAGGTGTATTTCAGGCATTTTACCTGTTGCTGCCAATTTGATTAAAAGAGGTGTTGAGGTTGATCATGTTTATAAAGTCTGTGGCCTTGCTGAAGAGACAACAGAGCATGTCCTTTTCTTTTGTTCAAAAGCTCAACTGGTGTGGAAGCTAGCCCCGGTTCAATGGAAGGGTCCTAACTGTCTTGACACATTGAAAGATTGGTGGTGACACATCTCCAGCCTATTGACAGTAAGGACATTTCCGAAGCCCGAATACAACTCACTACATATATTTTATGGTGGCTTTGGAAATCTCAGAATTTATGGGTATTTGAGAGCACATCTAGATCGACACCTCTCATAGTTGAAGCTGCAGTCAAAGAGTGGATTGAGTATGATGAGGTCAGCCGGTCCAAAGTACTGCGAGGGGAAAACAGAAGGAGTTGATGGTCTAGGCTCTTTGCGGAGCAGTGGAAGTCTTCTTTTTTGTTTTTCTCTCATTTCCTGTTTTTTAGTTTCTTTGTTGGGATGGGTTTGATTATTTAGGGCCTAAGGTTCAGTTGGTTATTGACTGCTTAGGCCCTAATATTGGTTAGTTTTTTCTCTAGTTTAATATCTAGACCACCTGCGTGTGGATCTCCCTTTATATTCGGCTTATCGGTTTTATCCGAGTCGTAATCGAACATCGGTTTTGTTTTTATGAGTATTTCTATCGTTTCGACAAAAAAAAAAAAGAATTGGACCGAAGTTTTAACAAACAATTTTCAAGTAACTTACACATATTTAGCCCAATACAAGTTTTGTTAATTGACCCATTACAAAGTAAAGAAACATCGGACGACCAATATTGGTTTGATTTAATCTAACGGATAGAAATCACGATTGTCAACTATAAAATGCTAAAAAAATCCGACATTTTAGGGTTTCACCTAATTTTTTCCCCCTACCCAAAACACGCATCTCTCTTCATTTCTGTCAATTGTGATTTATTCTTCAATTTTTGTTTTTTATTTTTTTTAGCTGATGTTGTAAACAAATCTATTACATATATTGTAATTTGTACGTTTATTTTTACAAACATGGTTTAAACTTATAAATCTAAGTTTGTTTTATAAACATACCCGTGTTTTTTTTTCATTTAATTGTTTTCGTTATTATTATTTATGCTAGGATTCGAGCTCGATTTTGAAGAAAAAATGCAAATCCTAGAAAATTCTTCATAGTTGTACTTGATTTGCATCCAGACCTGAAAATATTTTTCTCAAATCGGGCTGATAAAATACGGATCTGGTTCACTTACACATATTCGTATGCTTATGTTTACAAATTTTGTTCAAACTGCTAAATCTCTGTTTGTTTTTTACACAAAGATCTGTTTTTGTTTTTGCTTTTTTTTTTTTACATTACCTGCTATCTCTGCTCAATTATTCGGACTGCTCTCTATATTGTTAATTTTAAGCGCATGAAAAGATGCGTGAGATAGTCCATGCCTTTAATTAAAACCGTGAGTTATCTTATGTTCATGAGTTATCCACATATTCTAAGAATCTCTCTATATTGTTAATTTTTTAATTCAATTATGTCTTTTTTTAATCTCGTGTTTATCTTATGTTCATGAGTTATCAACAGATTCCAAGAATTTTCTCTACTCTATTAAGTTTTGAATTCAGTTATGACTTTTTTTAACCTCGTGTTTTATAAATGCTTTCAAGATTTCTATATTTAGAATGTTAAAGGTACTTTTTTTGGTCAAAACTTTCTAAAAATGATTTATCCAACAACCTTTTCATATATAGATAGATAGATTGCGAATGCTCTTGTAATAATTCTTTTTTGTAGCTCCCGTGCATTTTCACGGGCAACTGTACAAGTATTTTATTTTTCCCTCTATTTATAGGTGAGGACTGCAATGTGAATTGCATTACCAATTGTCAACAAAACACAACTTCTTAGCACCTCTAATGTGAAGGCAGAGTGATTTTGTCAAATTTGGCACCCATCACCTAATCTTTCAACACACGAGCTACATGCGAGTTAGATTATGCAATAAAACAATCCAAGTATCATTGAAGATACTATTAGAAAAGTTCATACCCTCAAGCCACGATGAAAATCAAACAATATTTCAAATAAATAAATTGCGATTCTTAGTTCTCATATGCCATGATAAACTCGCGTTTCATTCAAAAGTTTTTCCAAATAAATTGCCATCTTTTAGTTCTCCCATTTTAAAGTCGCTACTTATGTCTCGTGCAGCATAAAAATCTGATCCTTTTCGATAAGCAAAAGATATTTTACCCCCTTTCACTCCCCTCAGCAACCATCCTCTGCTGTCGCAAGAAAACACGCAGCACAAACACTTTCCCTCCTGGATTTCCAAATTTCCTCTATTTAGTTCTTGTCGGATTAACACCGCACGCCTGTATATGTTAAACCTTTGTTAACTCTACATAAGAGTCTTGAGTGTCGTTTAAAGATGTCTGCTCTGAGTGCAATTTCACTGTGGCCTCAAAAGCTCTTCTGGTGCCAGCCAACCCCAAGAAAACGCTATATATCCTGTTGTATGTCTACCCCTTCACTTACAAAAGGTATTTCTATGCAATTCAAAATTCAATATGCTGTATTAAGTTGAAGTGCGACGCCGCTCACCTTATTTGTAAGAGTTTAGTGAATGTTAATGTGGCTGAAAATATATTATTTTGGATTTTGCAGTGAATGTATGTGTCCTTTTGGACAGTTCAATGATTTAATGTATATGATTTTTCTGTCCGGTTGGTGAAATTGACCCGCTGTTTCTCCGATGTTTCTGCTCTCTTTGGATTACTCCATTTTATTTGTTTAAATAAATTAGGGGGTTATTTTCTGTTTTTGGGTATGGTCTTGATGAACCAACCATATGCAATTAACTTACATCTTTTCTTGCACCCAAAATTACTTTACAGTCTTTCTTTAACACAATATGGGTAGTTGATGAGATATTTGTACTAAATTTAGGTTCACATGCGACCATAGTACCTCGTCGACAACTGTCTGGAAGAAAAGAAGGAGCTGGAAAGAGTATGGAGGATTCAGTTAAACGCAAAATGGAGCAATTTTATGAAGGCCCTGATGGGCCACCATTGCGTATACTGCCAATCGGTGGTTTAGGAGAAATCGGGATGAATTGCATGCTATTAGGGAATTATGACCGATACATTTTGATCGATGCTGGTGTAATGTTTCCAGAGTGAGTTGTAGAAAACTGACTTCACACGTTCAATATCACAGGGTTGCCTGAGGCTGATGGCATCTCCATGAAAATTCGGACCTCTCACGTGTCATGTGCTTTTTTGTTCTTAACAAGCCATTGAGACAATTTTTGTTCTTTTTCAGTCACGATGAACTTGGTGTCCAGAAGATTATACCTGATACCACTTTTATCAAGAAATGGAGCCACAAAATCGAAGCTGTTATTATCACTCATGGGCATGAAGACCACATTGGTGCGTTGCCTTGGGTAAAGTTTCTAAATCTACTACTTGAATTGTATTATTCAGAACAGTGATTAGTGAGAAATGTAAGCATGTGATGTTTATTATATGATGCCATGTTATATTCCTATAGACTTAAGTACATACTTCTCTGTTTGCTCTCCTCTTCTTTTCCTATCTCCTTACTTCATTTGACTGCTCTATTGAGATACAGATTTAGTGTTATATTCAGTCGTACGTTCAGAATTGTTTTTCGCTGGAAGTTCAATCACTAATATTTTCATCCGGAATAAATTTGGAATTCACTTGTTGAGTTTTTGATATGGGAGGGGATCGGTTATGCTATTCTCATGCTTCATGGTTTCCATTAGTACCTACATCCATATGGTGTTTCACTTGTGCAAGCTTTGAAGGATATAAGAAGTTTCCTTCTGCTTTGGAATTTTTCCCCATAAGTTTTGGTCTCCAAATCTAGTGTTTGGTTATATTAAACCAGGAACACATTTGACTTGAGCATAAATGAGTTTTTTTTTTTTTTTTTTTTTTTTTTTTTTTTTTTTTTTACCTGGCATGAAACATCTGACTGGTGAATACGATAATTCTGTAGTTGGTATATGTACAAATCCTACATGTATATCACAGGGATATCTCCATCTTTTGTTTATCATGGTTCTTACCAACTGTGCCCATCTGAGCAGGTCATCCCGGCCTTGGATTCACAGACACCAATATATGCTTCATCATTTACAATGGAGGTTAGTTTTAATTGTTCTATGAATTACTTGGATATAGTTTTTTCATAATGATTGTGATTAGTGTAATATGGAAGTATTACTCGAATGTTTAGATCTGAAAAAAGGTCTCCACCAAATTCTTGGAAGGTCTTTATAACAATCAAACCTTAACGAGCTGATGCAATTCTTTTGGAATAGCATTTGTGGCCAATGGAATAGGCCAAAGATAATAACTGCTTGACAGCTGAAATTGATTCAAGTGTTGCATATTAAGCAGATACTTAAATATCGACCATTTTTTTCCCTTCATAAACAGCTTATTAAGAAGCGCCTGAAGGAGTTTGGTATCTTTGTACCATCTAGACTAAAGGTATTTAAAACACGGAGGAGATTTGATGCCGGTCCTTTTGAAGTTGAACCGATTAGGGTTACACATTCTATTCCAGATTGTTCTGGGTTGGTTTTCCGGTGTGCTGACGGTACTATTCTTCACACAGGAGATTGGAAGGTATTTCTGTCAGTTGTTTATTGTACTCCGCATTTACTTATCTCTTCTACTTTCTGCATTAATATTAACAAATAATTTGACAGATAGATGAGTCACCATTGGATGGGAATGTTTTTGATCGTGAGGCTCTAGAAGAACTTTCAAAAGAAGGAGTGACGTTGGTGAGGAGTGTAATCTGTTTTTCATACTTTTATTAGTTCTCTCTCTCTCTCTCTCTCTCTCTCTCTCTCTCTCTCTCATACTAATTAGATCTCCAAACACACGCATTCAACATAATTTCTTGCACCCCATCCACTGGGAAGAATGCTGATACATATTTCTTTTGTGGTGAAATATATGCCTTTTCGATGGAAAAGTTTTAGAAAACTTGAAGACTCAAAAAAGTAACCAATACATAATGTTATCAAAAAATCTATTTGGCATTAACATAATTTTTATAAATTTGTTTTCAAATGCAATGCATATGGTTTTCTATCTTATAAAAGAGATTGTATATAAAATCGATACTATGTTGTGAACTATACATAGATTCTTGCTTGGAGATTTATGGTTTACAATAACATTTTTGAAGCTAGCTTTACCAAAAAGGAGAACTGCACTACTGAGTTGTAGAACTTCTTTTGGGATTATTATGGCAAACAAGAAGTAAAATGCCACTTTTATCTGATGGTTCTTCGAGTTCCTTGTAGCTCAGTAGAGCCATTATATGGTTTGCACATGAATGCTGGAGTGAAAAAAATATTTGCATCGTCAATTAGCCACAAATTTCAATGTGTAGGCTAGCTGCTGTGAACTCCCTGATTTTATGTTCACTTAGTTCATCAAGATTGTATGTAATTTTATTAATCTTTAGATTTACAGTAATATTTAGTTTACCATCAATACTGAAAATGATCTGGAAAGGTAGCATTGGGTATCAACATCAATCTTTGTCTTACTCAAACATCATTAAGTAACAAAAGAATCTCTGAAATTGTTTGAGGCATCACTTTCTGAGAGCATTCCTATATCTAAGATTTAATTTGAATTTCCGGCTACTGTGGCCCGGTTGGCAACCTGTATATGTGGCAATACACTATCTGATGCCTGCTGTCCTCAGTGTTGATAGTTGTTGACCGGTGTAAATATCCTGCAAGCAGCAAGCTTATCACCAATCATAGGTTGTCTGAAGTCAATTTTTTGAAATTATTGTTGATCCATTACATGTTTTAATAACAGAGTGATTATGAGGCGTATAACTGTTACGCTATTATTCACAATAAAAGTGCAGAATGCAACTGACTTATTCGTGTCTTTCTTTATAGATGATGAGTGACTCAACAAATGTACTTTCCCCTGGAAGGACATTGAGTGAGACAGTCGTGGCAGATTCATTATTAAGACATATTTCAGCTGCCAAAGGAAGGGTTATCACTACCCAGTTTGCTTCAAATATACATCGACTTGGTAGTGTAAAATCTGCAGCAGATCTGACTGGAAGGAAGTTGGTATGCTTTATATTTCCTCGAAGTCCACAATTAACATTTGAGAGACCGACATCACAATTATTCTTGTTTTAGGTATTTGTTGGTATGTCCTTGAGAAGTTACCTTGATGCAGCATGGAAAGATGGAAAGGCACCTATTGACCCTTCTACTCTGGTAATCTCTTTGAACCTTCTTATTGGCCTAATCCTTTCTGCCAAATGGGTTTTTAAGTAGATCATTCACACAATTTCTATCTTATATATAATATCTTATGCATGTTCTTCAGTGGTTATTATAACTATTTGCTCAAAATATTGATAGTCTTAGCTTTTATTATTATTTGTCTACTGACTGCTCTGCATTTCTCACAATATTGTTTTTTTTTTTTTTTTTTAGCTAGATAGTTCCTAATGCAGCTTTTGTTTACAGGTGAAAGTGGAAGATATTGATGCTTATGCCCCAAAAGACTTGCTAATTGTCACCACTGGTTCTCAAGTAGGTTTCCGAGCCTTTTCTGCATAGTATTAGTTATGATGTTGACTTGAATGCTTATTTAATCTCTATCTCTCTGTGTGTGTGTGTGTGTGTGTGTTTGTGTGTTTGTCTCTCAGGCTGAACCACGTGCTGCACTAAATCTTGCATCCTATGGAAGTAGTTATTCTCTCAAGCTGAACAAAGAAGATCTTATTTTATATTCTGCTAAGGTAATTACTCTATGAGTCGCTGTTGACAAATCTCTTAATCTTGATTCTCTCTTAAGATTTTATTGTTTACCATGACTGGAAGTATTCATTGAGAGTTTGGTTTTTGAACCACGTATAACATATCATTGTGTGAAAATGCTCTTGCAAGATAGTTTAGCTTTGGTTGGTTTCGCCCGACACAAACCATGCTCATAAATTTTATGTTTTTTTTTTTACTTGTGTTCCATATACATCATTGCCCCGATTTCTTTTTGTTTTTATTTCTTTTCTTTTCTTTTTAAATAAGATTCAAGTATCTTCCAGATGGAGGTTGCTAAAAAATAAAATATATGCAATTTACTTGGCAACTCTTACTTCCTCTATTGGTTGATTTCTACCAAAACATATTCGTACAACGTAGTTTAGATATAAGCTAATAAGGGAAATAATAGAAATTGCTTTTGAGAAACACATTAGCAGCTAATATGGGGTAACAATGGACGTAAAAAGATGTAAGTTAAGATAATGTTAGAACTTAGGCTTTGAATATGGAAATTTTTAATATATTTTATTCTTCCAGGCAGTAATGATGGAAGAAAAGGAACGAACACATTTTGGAAGAAGAATAGCAAAATTTTGGAGATGGGATGATGGAAATGTCATGATTAAAATGATGTGGTATAGAAAAAAGTAGTGTAGTGATTAAAAATCATTCCAAGGTAAAAATGTCAGTGAGTGAATAATGATTTTTGTTGGGAAATGTGTACTAATGATTGATTTTATTTAAAAGTTTGTGTTAATGGGATTGAGGAGAAAAAATTGAATGAAAAATGTATCTTCTGAACTTTTTTAGTAGCTACCTCGAGCTTTAGAGTTTCTTGATTGAATATGTATCAATTGGGGATATGTATTGACTCAAAGATGAATCCTACCTTATAGGTAATTCCAGGTAATGAAAAGAGAGTCATGAAGATGCTTAATCGTGTATCAGAAATTGGATCAACTGTAGTTATTGGGAAGAATGAACTACTGCACACATCTGGTCATGCCCATCGTGAAGAATTGGTAAGATATTCGATTGTTACTATTTTCTGCCCTTTGATACACAATATCGTAGGATTGTGCTGCATTTTCAAATTAGCAAAAGGCATGCCTGGATTGGGAGGACACACATCAGCTAGTCTCTTTCCATTTTGCATGCTATTCTAATTGTTTCAAGTTGGTGTATATGTTTAGCTGTAGCACGTGCTCTATGTTAAATTTTTTAATCTGAGATTCTAAGAGTATTAAGTTGTTTTTATGTGAATGCCAGTCTCTCTCTCTCTCTCTCTCTCTCTCTCTCTCAGTGATTGCATATCTCTCTTGGTAATCCAGAATAAAGTTTTTCGTGCTTTCTTCTTTTCAAGTTTCTCAACATGTATGAACTTTAGAACAAAATCTTGGGGTAGACTTTTGGACGTCAAATATTCTCTTGGTCATCTCTCTAGTTCACTTATCTCACTTTTTCTTGTACAAACCTAGGGTTTTCTGAGTTGATGTGTTCCTTTGATATGACTGACCATATATATAGAGTTGGCCTTGTAGGTCTGTCCTTGATATATTTAACACCCCCCTTTAAACATAAAGATCTGAAGCGCATTGCGTTTGAGCAAGTCAAGCCGATGTTGTTCTCTAGTTTGTGCTTTGGTGAAAAAATCTGCCACTTGCAGTTCTGAGGGCACTTACTGAAGAACATTTGTTTTCCGATGACAATGAGACCAGGTAAAGGAAGCCGACACCAATGTATTTTGTAAGCTCATGCTTCACAGATCATTAGCAATTTGTATGGCTTCGACAATTTCATTAGCAATTTGTATGGCTTCGACAATTTGTATGCTTCCAGTATTATCTCAAAGAAGAGGTATAGGAGCATCACATGGAATACCAAAATCAGTTAACAACCACTGAAGCCGTATAATTTCTAAAGTGGTGTGCCAAGTAGGGCAGATATTCTTTTTACCAAAAACTGAAAATCGAACCGACGAGAAAATAAACCGAACCGCACCGATTCATTGCTATCGGTTACCAAAGGCTTATTGATTCAGTATTAGTACCGTTTCATATTAGTTTGATTTTAACCGAATCGAAGGAATAAGATTAAAAGAAATATATATGTTAAGTAAAATGAAGAGTAAGAACATCTGATGAGGAAACTGATAAGAAAAGCCGAAAGGGGTTATTTTTATGTGCCTGATGGTGATGAGTCTTAGATCCGCATTTGGGTGAAGAAAAAGGCCTCGATTGTCCCGCCAGCTGGGATTTATCATCGATTTACACTTGATTCTGACAATTATATCAAGGCAATGCGGTTGTTTGTTGGTGAGCCTATATGGACCCTATGTAGTCGTCCTCATGATCATCTTCTTACTAGAAAACAATATGTTGAGACCTTTGTGGAAAAGGCGAAAGTTTGTTACAACTTGAGAAAAGATTGCGTCTTTCTTGTGTGGGAAAAAAATATCGTGGAACACATAAGCATATAAGCCTGTACGGACTTATGGAGACCGCTATGTGAACTTTATTTGAAGAGCATGTTGTGTGATAATGCGCTTGTCCTAATAATAATGGCCCCTATGTTAAAAAAAAAAACTGGAAACTGTTCCTATGGGTTTGGTAACTTCAGTATAAAATTGAAACTGAACCGAGTTTTTGGTTACTAAAAATTCGGTAACCTACAGCAAGTCGGTTCGGTGTCGATTGTACATTTCGGTTCGGTATCGGATAATCCATTATCGGCTCGGTTATGGAACCGAACCCACCCCTAGTGGCAAGTGCTCGAAGTTCTGCCCGTGTGTTAGAGCGCAATATAACGGCCTGCTTCTTGGACTTCTATGTGAGGAGAAAACCGAGAAAAATGCATTAACTAATGATAGAACGACTATATGTTGGATTACTCGTCCAAGTAGAGTCCGAGTAAGCATGAAGTTGAAGCGGACTATCACGAGCATAGAATAAACACTAAGATGATGTGCCCCTTAAATACCGTAACACATGAAGCAAATGTTCAAAATGAACTGAAGTAGAAGCAATCACAAACTCACTCAATACGTGAACATGTACAATGTATGTAAGATAAATAGAATGCCCACAATATGTCTAGACCTCAAGAGGCGTACCATCAATAGAACAGAGCTGCAAGTGAAGATCCATAGGTGTAGCCGTTATCCGATTATCGGTATTACCCAACGAAGAAGATCTTGTATGTATTTGACTTGAAAAAGGTAATAGCCCGAGTCAGAGTGCATCACGTTAATGATCAAGAAATGGCTAAGAGGACCTAAATCGTATTGCTCACAGGTTGTTTTTTGACATGGGAAATATATTCTGCATCATCCGTACTCAACATTTCATCAACAAATAAAAGAAGTAGAGTATGTCCACATGGAGAGAAATGAATAAACAAGGCACGATCATGATCATTAAGGGAAAGACCAACAACCCGTATGAGACAAACGCTCAAACCAAGCACGTGGAGTCTGTTTAAGACAATATAAGGCGCGATGAAGACGACACGCATGTCCGGATGGGGCATTAACACCCGATAGTGGCTGCATATAAAATTTGTCATGCAAATCACCATGAAGAAAAACATTCTTCACATCCATTTGAGACATGGTCTAAGAACGAGCAGCAGTGCTGCTCACTACAGTGGTCGTGTGAGCAACAAAATCATCATAGTTTCGTCCCTCAGTCTGCTAAAAGCCTTTAGCAACAAGACGAGTTTTATATCTCTTAATAGAACTATCTGACTTCGTCTTAATCTATATAGCAACGATAATGGAACAAAATCCTAAGTGTCGGTACGATCAAGTGCAACAAGCTCCTCATATACAAGTTGCCACTCTAAAATACGTGAAGTTTCCTGATAAGTTGATGTCTCATCAAAAATAACACTAGCACGTTCTCAATAGTAGCATAATCACGTACATTATATCTCTGACCAACTTAAGACTATACAGGAATAGCGTGACACATCAGAATCTACGTACTCATCAAAGACCGGAGCATCAAGATGCCGAGACGATAAAGGAGAGTGGAGGCAGAAGCTTTGTGTGACCTATTGGACGGTGAGTATAAACCTGTGTGATACGTGGTTTATATGAGGGAGGCTCGTCGGATATGAGTGGTGGAGACTCATCATCAGAGGTTGAGACATCAGGCAAGGAAATAGATGTGGGGTGTGGAAGGGTTATAAGAAAGCACGATCTTCGACAAATGTTACACGAGATATACACATGCGACAAGCAGAAAATCATAACAATGGTAATCCTTATGCTCAAGTTTATACCCCAAAAAAGACGCACTCAACCGACTGAGCAGTTAGTTTAGTGCGCTCACGAGGAGAAAGTAACACATATCATGTATATCCAAAAATTCGAAGATGTTCATATAGGGATGACCAAAAAGTACCTCACTAGGACACTTAGAGCATGCTTGGATATAAAAAGTTTTTGTTTTGATTGGATTTTTGGTTTGAGTTGGTTAAATTTGAAAAAGTTGGTAATTGGTATGGTTAGTTGTTAGTGGGTATATTAAAATAATATTTAAAATAAAATGATTAGAATTAAATTGATGGTTAGTGGGTATATTAAAATAATATTTAAAATAAAATGATTAAAATTAAATTGATGTAAAAGTAGGAGATAAAAGATGTGATGTGACAGTTAATTAAGATTGTGTAAGTGGATGAATAGTAAGTTAAGGTTGATATTATTTAACTATATCGATAATATTGATAATAGTGGAGTTGAGTTAAAAAAAGTGGTTGAATTAAAAATGATTGGATTTTTTGTGTTGAATTTGTATCCAAGCATGCTCTTACCAACTGTTTGGATGATGGTTGTCGGTTGATAAGATAGACAACTGTAGACACAACTCTCAAAAATGAGAAGGAACGAAAGAAGCAAAGAGAAAGGTTCGAGCAATCTCAATTAGATGGCAGTGTTTTATTTTCTGCAACAACACCATTCTTAGCATGTGCACCAGGACAAGAGATGGGCAAATGTACTCTCAGAGGTAAAAAAACTGAGGATAAATTGTAAAATAGAAATTCGCCAGCAGAATCAGAGCGAAAGATTCAATTAGGATTAGAAAACTGAGTCATGCGAGCAAAATTCTTATAAATAAAACACAATTGAGAGCTATGTTTCATAAAATAAGTCTAAGTATATCGAGAATCATCAATGAAAAGAACATAATAACTATTTCCACCTTTTGTAGGAAAAGGGACGGATTTCCACCTTTTGTAGGAAAAGGGACGGCCCCATACATCATAGTGAAAACTACAACAGTTTAACCAAAAGGTGGAAATCCGTCCCTTTTCCACCTTTTGTAGGAAAAGGGACGGCCCCATACATTATGTTCTATTGTGAATAAAACAAAATGAGTCATAATATTTAACAAAAAATGTTTAACCAACTTAAAGAAGATTTATGGATCAATTAATCAATCAACAAGCCGTTAAAATCTCACTAAGTGGGGTTGGCTATATGGATCACATGTCGCAATGTGCGCGATCAAAGCACATATCCTAATTCAAATTTAACTATTTTAAATTATTTTTTAATGTCTCCTTCCATGTTTGTTTAGGTCTACCCCTCCCCTTTTTAATTTGCGTTCTTAATTCTAGTGTTTCTATCTTCTCGCCAGTGCCTCGAAGTCTCTCCTATGCATATGCCCAAACCACTTTAATCGTGATTCTCTCATTTTCTCCTCTATGGGCGCTACCCCCACTTTATTTATAATAATTTTATTTCTAATATTATCTAATACTTTCATTTCTAATAAGAGATATTAGGTACTGAAAAATGTGAATTGCATAGAGAATAATATGACAAGATGTGTCATCTGTCTGTATAGAAATAGAAGTACCATCTGATTGACTTGTAGGCAACCAACTGGCTGATTAGATGACACATTGAATGATGTCACTGAATCGAGAACCCAAGACTGAGGAGCATTGATAGGATAGGAGAGGCAACAACAAACATAGACCCTTTCATAGCAGGAGTCGTACCACGAGTTCGAGTAGCACGGCGTGCAGGGTACTCAGAGCCAATATTTTTGGAAGCCTAAAAAAAAAAACAATTTTTGGCACTATGACCTGTCTTCCCACAATGCTGTCAAGGGTCTGAAGAGCCTTCTTTTGGTGCACTAAGTCGTTGAGAGGATGGTCGATGAGAAGCTGCCAAGACACAATGAGATACTACTGACGAAGAAGAAAGTGACAGATCGGAGACGGTGGCTTCACTAATTAAAATTGTACAATGCTTGTGCCATGGTTAGGGTAAAACAGTTCTGAAGCAACCGTGTACTAATGGACTCAAACTTTATCTTATATGACAAAGTGATTTATAAATTGTTTCTCTACAAATTTATGTGCTGAACACTCTTTTTCATGCATTGAGGTACCACGGACGATCAAAAGTTGAATTGTTCTCATCAACGGATATATCATTATGTTCAATCACATGAATTTGATGCATAATTGTGTGCAAGAGTCCACCTTTATTTAATAGCGTTGTTATAAATATGACATCATCGCCTTGGTTGTGCGAGAAGAGGAAAGTCATAGACTGCTTGCTATTGACGATGACAACAATCATTTTCTCCCCATTAATTTGCCATATCCTGATGCCAACAACAATACTATTATCGGCCTTTTGTTCTGGTCCATCATTGGTCAAAGTGAAAAGGTAGACCATAACCCCTCAATAATGTTACCATAAATAAAGCATACTCACGATAATTTTGGCCATCGAGAGTGATTGATAACAATTGCATGGAGTTGCGACATGATTCGACGACGTATGACAAAATACCTTCATGGATGAACAACGATGAGTGAAGTGGTTGCGACGGGCAACGTAAGATCGTAAGGCGGATTTGTGATGACAAAATACCTGAATGGTGTCGAGATCGATTGGATTAAACGAACCTAATCCAGACAGAAAACCCCTCCAAAATAAGAAATCGACAGCACTAGCGGTAAGGTCTCAAAATTCCATGCTCACGGTAGGGTTGAGCACGGGACTTAGAGATTATCGAATCGTTTTGAAAACCGAATCGAATTCATCCATCTGAAAAAAATATACATTCGTTGTTTGACTATCTCCGAACTGAAACGTACCGTTTTTTTTTCTTTTGGTACGATTCTGGAGATTCATAAATATTCATACAAAAAACTGAATCGAACTGGACCGAATAGAAAATACTCGTACCGAACTGAGGTACCAAACAAGAATTGATTCCAATTTATAAAGTTCATATAATTTCTTTTTTCATCTTTGTACATAATTGTATTGAAAATTGAATTCCATATACAACCAATATACATTATGTTACGTCTATAAAACTATCATAAAATATATTTAAAATTAAATTTCGAAAACATCCACTATTGACTATTAATAGAGTTTAATGATTCAAAAATAATTATTTTATTTTCGTACTGCATATGCGGCATTTTAAATCTAAGATCTCATTTTTGAATCAATTTTTAAAAATAAAATAAAATTAATATACTATACCTTTCACAATTCTCCTAGTATAGTGCTAATAATGGACTAGATGAAAATGACTCAATTAAATTCTAGTGCTTCTTCTATTAGTGAAGTTTCTAGAAAAAAATATATCAAATGATGCAACGCACCTTGGGTCGCTATGGAAACAGCCTCCTTGTATAATTACAAGGGTAAAGTCTGCGTACAACTGACCCCCCAGACCCCAACCTATTGGGAATATACCGGGTATGTTGATTGATTGACTATACCTTTCACAAATTTGGTAGCCAACATGTCAAATATTTTATTAGTAATCATTAGATATAACTTAATCAAATTTAAATATCTAAAGTTTGGAAATTGACATTTATGGAGTAAGTCTTTCACAAACTTTTGAGATAATTATTTATTTGAAGGTGATATATCTTCAAATAAAAATAATTTTATAGATATTTTTACTATAATATGGATTAAGAACGGATATACGGATTATTTCAATAATACATTATTAAATTATTACTTAATAAGATTAAATATCCTCACTTTTCGGAAACAAACTTTATATATATTATATGCGTATCTTTATATTATATGCGTATCTTTTATTTGGACATAATAGTTTTTGAAAATGTCCTTTTATTTAATTAGTAACTATATTTAAATTAATTATTGTTCATGAGTACGTCTTATCACTTGCAGATTTTTGGCATATAAACGATTAGCATAAAATTCTTTCAAATTAAATTATATTTTTGAATTAATGATATTTTGCAACAAAAGATATTTATCACTTTATGAATTAAAAAAGATTTTAACCACCAATATTTATTAGTTGACGAAATTAAGAGAGGTTTTTTATTCTCTATGTACCATCTAGCATGTAATTAGGAGATTTTTTTTAAATTTTAACTAAAAAAAAATCTTGTAAATCTCCGATAACCGACCCATTAGACCCGAATCTCCGGAACCGAACTAAAATTCAGTTTGGTTCAAAACGGAGATTTAATGAGACCGTTTATGGGAATCCAATATTTGAGATTTTCGAAGTTCGGTTCGATTCAAGGGATTTCTAGATCTCTGGACTGAACCGACTCGTGCTCAGCCCTAGGCGGTGAGATGACTGATGTGGGAGGTGAGACTTGAAGGAAAAGAAAATAAAACCCAACCTTGGGTTTTCATAATTGATGTCTTCCTTTGATATGAATGACCAAATATATAGAGTTGCCTTGATATGCTTGACATTTCTCACTTCAATTTTATCAATACAGTTTTTAAAATAAAACTCAGTTAGCACTATACAAGTCTTTATAAAATTTACCATTCAACCACTCACATTTTTAACTAACGCTCGCTTTCATTTTCATTTTTTTTTTTTTTTTTTTTTTTTTTGCATCACATCAGTTCAAATCATTGCACTTTCACCTTACATCCAATCACACTTGCCGAATTATTATATTTTCTCCCAATTTTCTTTCATATTTAAATGAAAGTTTTATTTAATGAAATCATATCAAATGGCACCCTTGTGTCTCCAGCATATTCTTATAATAGTGTCTCATATTAATTAGGGAGCAATGTGATTATCGTATTTGCATCGAAAGCTCCAACTACTTTGTTGATGGTTCACAAATTTTCCTTTTGAAGGACGAAGTGCTTAAAATTGTTAAACCACAACACTTCCTACCTATTCATGGGGAACTCCTGTTCTTGAAAGAGCATGAATTGTTGGGAAAGTCAACCGGCATTCGCCATACTACAGTAAGTTATTTTATTTTATTTATTTATTTATTTTATCGATGCCGTAAGTAAGTTTAATATTTCAGTTTGTTGCATCTTGTTCCATAGAGTACTTATATTGCTTGAATGATTTCCTTTTTCAGGTTATAAAGAACGGGGAGATGCTGGGGGTATCTCATTTACGTAACAGAAGAGTTCTATCTAATGGTTTCATTGCCCTTGGCAAAGAAAATTTGCAGGTTACTGTTAAATCTCCCCCTTCACTCTATGTTTCTCTGATGTAAACATGAAAGGAACTACGTGAACTTGTATAATTTGATTAACTAACATAGTATCATGCTCGCAGTTGATGTATAGTGATGGTGACAAAGCATTCGGCACGGGATCTGAACTTTGTATTGATGAGAGGATGAGAATTGCATCAGAAGGCATTATAGTGGTTTGGTACGCCATTTTGAATAATTAACTGATATTGCTTTCTCATATTTATTGCTGCATGATGTGAGTTCCATATATCTCGTGAAGCATGGAAATCATGCGCCCTCAAGCTGCAGATGGTTCAGTCGATGCGGCTTTGAAAGGAAAAATAAGAATTACCACAAGGTGCTTATGGCTTGATAAAAGAAAACTTCTGGATGCACTTCATAAGGCTGCACATGCTGCATTGTCAAGCTGCCCAATATCTTGCCCTCTGGCTCACATGGAAAGAACTGTTTCTGAAGTTTTAAGAAAAATGGTAAGGAAGTATAGCAGCAGAAGACCAGAAGTCATAGCTATTGCTATCGAGAATCCGGCTGCAGTTCTTGCCGATGAGATCAATGGGAAACTGTCCGGAAAGTCGCATATTAATTCTGGTATCTTAGCATTGAGGAGAGCAGTTAATGAGAAAAGAAGAAAACCAATTAAGATACCAGAGGAAAATGACTCTGGTCTTGCAATTAACAAAAGAATGTCAGAAAAAGAATTAGAAGGTAAATTTACTTTTCTTGCCTAATGAACACTACTAAACACGACTTTACAGTCCATACTCTATCCAGAGATTTTTCTGGCTCTTAATTTAATTGGTAGACAATGCAATATGTTTGTGAATGTAAACGAATTTTTTAGCTTCTATATGTGCATCTGTGAAGAGAATGGATTCAAAGATACAAGGATGGAAAACTGAATGTAATAGGTACAACCAGCATGAATTATTTTCCCCTGTAGCTTCTATACAGTAAATTATTTGTTTGGAGATATTTTATATACAGTGAACTCTGATTTCTGTCCCATAGGGTTGCCTAGTGATAATGAGATATTGTGAGATCTAGATTTGAATTGACAGTTGGTAAACTTTAGCTATTTGGACCAGTTAGATTTCTTACTGGGTACCAGTGTGCTCTGTTTCATGAGAGGAGCTTAATGTTATATATCTACTTGATACTGATGTCTCGCAACTTTCGATTGAAATAATTTCGTAACGAATATTGACACGGCTTTTCTAATTATTTACATGTTTCACCATTTCAGCAACTTTAGACATGTATATGTTTAAAATTGCTTTCTGTTATATTACATATATATTATGTTTGCGCATGAATATTTACATGCTGATGTCTGGTCATGTTGGTGATCCCGAATTAAGTATTCAAAATTACATCAAGAAATCATATGTAAAAAATTGATATAATTGTTCCTGTGTAGTCCCACACGAGGAAGGAGTTGTATTGCATTCGAAATTGGCAGAGAGGGGTGTTGATGTTGATGAATCTGTTGGTTTCTGGACGTCATTTTTATCCTCGCCAGTTTCCAATCAACAAGAGGATAACAATGATTTGGTTCGAGAGAGCGGTAAAGAAGACATGATTGAACTCAACCACAATGTTTCAAAATCTCAACTAAAAACTTCCACCTCTTCGAAAAGGAATAAATGGAAACCTGAAGAGGTGAAGAAGCTGATTAAAATGCGCGGGGAACTTCACAGCAGATTCCAAGTTCTCAAAGGTCGAATGGCTCTCTGGGAAGAGATATCTTCGAGTTTATTGTCGGATGGAATCAGTAGAAGTGCTGGGCAGTGCAAATCCCTTTGGGCATCCTTAGTTCAGAAATATGAGGTTGGTTTCACTATCTCTACTTTCCAAATATAAATATCATACCTTTCTTTAAATTTGTAAATACTCCAAAATTATCCACATTGATGTCCATTTATGTATGGTTTAGTCTAAATATGTATGCAATTCCTTTAAAGTGTACCTAATGGCCGTTGTATTGGTTTCGATCTCATTCTTAGTGACTAAAATTGAGAGATAATTCTATTTTGAACAGGAAAGTAAGGGTGATCAAAAAGCCCAAAAGAGCTGGCCGTATTATGGCGATTTGGACAGTATTTTGTCAGATTTGGAAGCTAATGTGCCCAAATGATTGTACGTGCAACTCTTTGTTGCCGTTGTGATAAGCATGGACCTCATGATGGCTGCAAAGATGAAAACACTGCAAAGCATTGAAATGGAAACGAACGAGGGCTGGGTTGACCGGTGATGCTCAACTCGATACATATGGTTCGGTTCATTTACTAGCTCACGTATAAGATTGTAAGCTCATAAAGTATTCAGAAAATGAAGCCTGTAGAAAGATGTGTAATGATTAAATTTTGTAGCCTATTGAATTTGATACTTCTTAATTGAACAATGTAGTTTTGGCCTAATGCTATTGATGCTTATATGCACTCTAATGATATTTGATCGATTAAAGTATCGGTTTTATAACACATGGCCAAAACCCGGGCTTGAGTCACGGCGGGCCGGGCCCACCGGGTTGGGTTTCATGGACCCTGAACCAGCACGGACTTAGGGTTGTTCCAGGTGCACGACTCGGCGGGCCGGACCGGGCCCGACCTGTTTGAACCCGCCCAGGAAAAAGAAAAAGAAAAAAAAAAAATAAATCAAAAACAGGGTAAAATATACATGACCCCTTGTATTATATGAAATCTGTGAGTTTTCCCCTGATATTTTAAAAATTGCGTCAGACCCCCTTGTATTAACTAACTGTTGCACGATTCCTCTCTCCATCCAACTTGACGGCGCATCCAACACACATTCATGTAGGGGTGAGCATGGGACTCGGAGAATTCTGAACCGTTCCGAAACCGAACGAAATCACTCCGAACCGAAAAATAACTGTTGACCGTTTGACTTTCTCCGAACCGAACAGAACCGAAAAAATAATTGGTACGGTTCTGGAGATTTCACAAATATCTGTACCGAGAATCGAACCGAACCGTCCCATACCGTACCGAACCGAAGAATCGAAATTAAGAATTGAATTATATTCATTAGATGTGTTATTAATATATTTTATGTCACCTTGATCCTTTATTATATAGTAATAATAACTATTAACTTTCACGTAACTTTCATGCTTAGTAATATTTGATCTACAATTGAATTTTTTCTATTATAAAATAATTATTTAAAATAATATGAAAGGTTAAAGAATTTTTTTTAGAAAAAAATATTATATTTTGTTTGAATTTTAAATTTTCAATATTAGTTGCACATATTTAGTCTTAACTAAAATTTAGAGTTACTTCTAAAGTTGATTTCAAAATAAAATTATTAATATGAGGAAGTATTGATAAATGTTGGTTTTATTAAAGCATATAAAAATTAAACAACTAAAATTTAGAGTTACTTCAAAAATTGATTTCAAAATAAAATCTTCAATATGATGAATTATTGATGAATGTTGTTTTTAAAGCATATAAAAATTAAAATATAACTAGGTAGTCATTCAAAAAAAAATCTAAAAAAATAAGAAATCTCCGAAGATCCGAATGTTAGAGGTATGCTGTAAAAGCTATGTTTTGCAGATTCTATCAATTCCATTTT